TTGGTAATAGAGAAGTATTAGAATAAGGTAAAAAAAACAAAAAAAAAAGAAAAATTTGTTCGATGAAATATTTTGGAATATTTCTTAATATTGGCGCAAGATGTTTAATAAAGATTTATTGATGACAGTAATAGATTTATTGTCTTTAGATTATTAATGAATGTAAAGAATACGATGAGTTCCTTGTTTGTGTAAAAAAATGATATTGAGCATGTTGAATGGTTGAACTGAAACTTAAAATTAGGAAACCTAAAAAAAAGAAAAAAAGCACCAAATAAAGATTTCGAGTTTTCGAGAGATCGTTTGCGTACCGAATAAAAGTCTCGATGTCTTTTACGCATCGAATAAAAGTGTCGAGATCGTTTGCGCACCGAATGAAAGTCTCGATATCTTTTACGCATCGAATAAAAGTGTCGAGATCGTTTGCGCACCGAATGAAAATCTCGAGATCGTTTGCGCACCGGATACAAATTTCCGCTTGATTAGCAAAAGAAACCTTTGATGATTTGGAAAATTTTACAAAATATACAAGAAAAATTGATTGTTAAATGAAAAACAAATATTTCCATCATTGTATATAAGCTAGATTGTTCGACTAATCAATCATTAATAAATCAAAGATTACAATTAATTTAATTATCAAACCGGAAATCTTTTACAACAGTATGTTATGGGCATTGATTAAATGATTCATTACTTAATTTGTTGAAAATTTTAATTTAATTTCTGTTTAATGAATAACTTATCGGTAAAATACTCTAAACATGACAATCTTTATGCTACAAATTTATAATATATATATATATATACTTTGATTATTTTTAATATATTATAAATTTTTTTTTGGGTTTTCCGACATTTGACTGTAAATGACGTGTAATATGTGCTTACGTCCGGATGCTTAATACGTGCATACGCCAACGATCACTTTCAAATTTACGTTTCAGTTATCATAGATGAATGCTTAATACGCGCATACGTTAACAATCATTATCAAATTTACGTTTCAGTTATGATAGATGAATGCTTAATACGTGCATACGTCAACGATCACTTTCAAATTTACGTTTAAGTTATGATAGATGAATGCTTAATACGTGCATACGTCAACGATCACTTTCAAATTTACGTTTGTGATAGATGAATGCTTAATACATGCTTACATTATCAACAATTTTTCGATTTATTCTTTATCAATTATTATATCAATATTCATATCTTATCTTTTGAATATTTGATTCAATATAATGATTAAAATATGAAATGAAATTTATTTCGAAAAATTTCATATTTTATTAATTTTTTTTTGACAATATTGTTATTCTATTTATGCTTTTAAAAGTGCAATTAGTTAATTGATAATTTTTAAAAATTTTACCATAATTTTATAGGATAATAAAGATTTACCGACAATAATTAATGGTGAAATCAAAGGTTTAACACCTGGTTTGCATGGTTTTCATGTTCATGAATATGGTGACACAACAAATGGATGCATTTCCGCTGGTGCACATTTTAATCCTTGCAATAAAACACATGGCGGTCCAACTGTTAGTTTTATTATATTTAAAAAGAAAGCGAAAAAAAAAAATTGACATGAAATAATTTTTTAATAATAATTAAATTGCATCATTTCATTTCATCAATCATTTCCAAATATTATTTTTAATTTAATTACTTTTTCGTTTTTTTTTTTTCAATAAAATAATTTTAGTGATAAAAAAGAAAAAAAAAATTTGAAAAATTATATGTCTAACGATATGCTATTTTTGGTGGTTATTTTTAATATAGAATATTTTTGAATAAGTTAATTATTTTTGGAAATGAATAATTAATTAGAAATAAATAAAAAAAAGGAGATAATTAATTGGCTAAAATAATTGACAATTGATTTCTTCAATCATTTCAAATATTATTTTTTAAAAAGAATTTTTAATTTAGTTTTTTTTTTTTTTTTTTAAATAAATGTATTTA